TGATTATATTATATTATATTATATTTATAATATAGAGATAGTTAAAGAAGATTAGAATACAAATTTCTGTATAACTGGGAGCAATGTTTCGATTATTATTGGCTTATTTGTGGGACGAACAGTGGAGTAATTAGAATGGTTGATTAAATCTTTAATGGATTCGATTGTTATTTGACTGAGAAATTCATTGAAATATAGGCAATATATACCAATAGCTATCTAATATAGTCACAATTGTGTATAGTTCATTCTCTTTGTAGGAAGCAATGTTGTATATATCTTCAAAAGGAGGAAAGCAGAATTAAATCATTAACATAATATTAGCTGTAAAACACTTTGCACTCAGTTTCTGGCTTTCGTTATTATGAAGACACGTTTCAAAAGATAAATTCTAGTGTTTAAATTACAATGGTGGATAAACTAAATCACCAAGCTATTTTAATGATAAGTTTGACCTCCATAACTGGATACTATTCTGCATGCATTAATTCATAATCTGTAATTTTATCGGGAGCAAATAATACGATAAAAAAAAAGGTAAGTTCTAAAATTTTTGAAAGCTTTCACTTAACACGTTATTTTTGCAGATATCATCCCTTGTTTATCGTTCAACTTTTATAAATAAAGTTTTTTCGTGTCTCCAAAAATAGCAGAGGCAATTAAGGTAAGCAAAGCTGTTATTTCACCCTTTGTACGTATATATACGCCTTTCCTAAAATCTCTTTTTGGCGGATTATCGTCGAGCACTGTACTATGCGCACAAACTGTGTTATACTGAGAGAAGTTTCCTGTATAAATGCGTCGCTGGAAATTCGCCTCGTTAATAGACACACATTCGCAGAAATGTGTTGTATCATTAAAGTAATTGTCTTATATTGCTAATCCTATTATCACCGTATTACTCCCAATGTGTGCGAAGATATTTCCAAATTGCCACAATCATCATTATATTGCTTGAAGATTTTCGCAAAAATGAATTCTAAAATCTCGATTACAAATTTTTTCCATTAAAATATCATTGAAGAAGATAGAGATATGTACGAAACGCTTTATCATCCTCAATGTATTAACATTCTTCTCTCAGCGATAGAATCTAACCTCAAAACAACACAAGCAACTGAAATTTAAAAATGCATTTCATTAATTCAAAAACAAAAATTGCTAAATCTTCATTAAAGAATGATCAAAAAACAGTGCAAAATATAATTTAAAATTGAATTGACAAAATATCTCTAAAAATCTAATTTTAAAAGCCACAAAATCTTAAAGGACTCTTTTCAAGATTCGACATATATTTACAAAGCATTTTTTCTCGATTGATATTTTTATTGACAGATATTCGTTCTTTCAATACGATAATCTTATCGTGCTCAGTTTTGTTTCACCTCTCGTGCGTTTCCACATAAAACGTCCCACGTTCGAGAGTCCACAGTCTTCGAAGAATTATTTACGAGGATGCAGTGAACGAGAACGTAATAAACATCGAAGCCGATTACGGAATAAAAGTCGAAGGCGTGCCAATGGATGACATTTCCTAATCGAAACAATGGGACTGTTTCATGGAAGATTGTACCTAGGAGATTAGCGGAAAGAGGGTGTCAATGGAGTTGGTCAGTTGAGTAGAACGTTTCCTGGGATGATTTTCCGTGAGAATTATGGGCACAGTTTCCATGGAAATTTATAATTAATTTTTGTGAGAAAATTGGATATTTTAGAATATTATAATCGTAATTTTGAATCAATTTTTTTTTTTTAATGACTTTTAATATTCTAGGATTGAACATTATAATATAAGGAATATTATAATCTTAATGGGATCAATTTTCACAAGAATTTTCAATATTTTATAGTATTAAAATATCCATCTATTCAATATTCACACAAAACCAATAATATTCCAATACCCATACAATCTTTCCATTTTTATTTAAATTTCCAAATTTAATTTATTTAAATTTACGATAAATGCATCCATCCATCCATCCATCCATCCATTTATCCATCTATATAATACTTCTCTAAAAATCTCAATTTCCCTATGTTTTAGTTATAAAATCTTTTTACCGACCATCGGTAACCGATCAACAAGAAAGATATCTCCACCATTAAAGAGTTGAAGACATGAATCGTGACTCTCGTAACTCTTTGAGCACAAGTTTTTCACGATCGTGAAACGAAAGCAAATATCGTATATATTTACGATCGTAGCACGAGAGAAGAAAGAGATATATGTACATTTTATACAACAGATTGGCATATTGATATTCCGGAACGATGCAGATCTACGTGAACGAATTGGGAGCTGATTGTTGATTCTTTTCCTTATGCGTATTTCACTATATTTCTTCGTCAACGATTTACGATTGAACGAAGATGCTAATGTTCTGTTTGAATATCTATTCAAATGTGTCTTTTTCTAATTGACATTCCTTTATGGAGAAAGGATTTATATGCAATCATGAGAATATATAAATAAAGTGAGTAATAAAAAATATATTAAGAAAAAATCCTAATAATTAATAATTGTAAATAATTGTAAATAATTTTTTGTTTCAGTCGAAGTAAGTGAGTTGTTGTTTAAAGAATTCTGTTTAAATATCTATTCAAATAATATTTTTTTCCTAATTGATGTTCTTTATGGGGAAAGAATTTCATACAATCACGAGAATACATAAATAAGGTGAGTAATAAAAAATACATTAAACAGAAGACAAATTAAAATCATAAAGTAATATAGATATAATTAAATTTCTTAAAATTGTAAAGTAACGAATTAAATTTCGTTTCAATTAAAGCTAATAAGTTATCGTTTAAAAAATTGATTTGCTGTATAAAAGAAAATGGATTATCTTCTATCATTTTTTTTCTCCTATTATAAAAAGTTTCATGTGTATTCCTTTCTTCTCTAAACAAGCTTGATATACATATACATTCATAATATACTTTACATAATTTTTCAATGAGAAATTGACAATTATTATTGCTTTTCTATTAATGGTATGCCATGATTCTCAGCTCGTTAAAATCGGCAATTAAAATCCAAATTGTCGAAAATGGAAGAAGCGAAAAGAAGCTTGATTTTTCTCGAATCGAAGGAAAGCAAAACCTGGACCAATTCGACGATCCTCCAATTTTTAAGAGTCAAGGGATAAATTACTTTCCTTTCCTCGTCAAATTGCCACGATCATTTCGGATTACAGCGATTAATCGACGTTGGCGCGTATCCGCGGCTCGATGCAGTCGCGAAAGCCTGATCGTCGTTTCCTGAAAACGCTGCCTAATGCTCACGATTAATCACCGATAATGGAGCGAACCAACTAATTGCTCGCAGCGCCACCCTCTATTTCTCTTTGCATTCGATCGTTAGTGCACGTAAAAAGAGAAAGAAATTAGTCGAATCTCACCTTCGAGTTCGATGAGTCTGAGATTATCGAATCGTGTTCATTACTTTTCTTCATAATTAGATCCAAGATTCCCTTGTACTATGTAATTTTCTCTATTTTTTTTTTTGTTCTTCGATCATGTTGAAAAGATTGTTCATGATCAAATAAGAATTTGGAGGTTAATATATATTGTGCTATCAAACGTAACATAACAAGATTGGAGTTGGAACACGTTGATTATTGTTACAGAAGATAAATTGAATTTGTGAAGACGTGTACAAGTCTCGAGACAAAAATTCTGAAAAATTGGAGTTTATAAATGGAAATAATGGAAATAAATCGGTTAAGTGGGCAGAAAGTTAACTACTGTTATTCCTTTCGAAACTAATAGGATAATACATAACAAGTAACTTTTGCAAGTATAATAAGATGTTAAAATTTTCTTAACGTGATACAAAGCATATTGGGCCATTATTTAATTATAAATAAAATTATAATGGAATAACACATATATCTAATAGCATCATATCTAGTTACAGTCTAGATTGTACTTGTATATCTTGTTCATAAAAAATCAGAAGAAAAATTAAAAAATTTTAGGCCAAAAATTATTTATTTTTGAATTGCTCACAATCTATCTCTAGTTTTATTTTAAAGATATTTTACAATGAATTTATAAAGAAAAATGACATTTAAAAAGTCGATTCACAATGGATTAGAAAAAGTCCTTTTCAAAAATATTTGAAGTTCGATCAGCACACTATCAAAATTCTGATCTTAATGAGCAATTAACAATTTCGTTAAGCACAGTTGCACAACTAATTCCAACAACGTAACAAGCTCACTCGATGTCCCTTAATATCTCCAATTCATCGTTCGAATGGCGAATTGCCAAGAGATGCTGTTCCACCAACATCTCCGATCTTCCGGATCGTTATATCACGCTCGAAGCTTATTTTCGCTATTTCATTTGAATAAAAAGTGTGTGGAGAATAATTACGTTGGAACGAAATCATAAGATCACGATGGTGAATTTTTGAAACGAGGAAAATTCAATGGAATCATTGTGTCGAGAAAATATTTGAGGATGCTTTCTAATTAAAAGCTTCGACTTCATAGTTCTCTCTTCTTTATTGATCAAATATTTGCGAATGGAACGTTGGCGTCTGATAACTTCTGACTAATAACTTCTGACTAATAACTTGCTTAATCGTGACGAAAATCGAACGAAATAGAATTTCAAGTGGATTATAATTAAAAAATTTTATTAGTCCTTACTTACACTCGATATTTAAAAATTTATCTTCTGTTGGAAAATTTTTTAAATTCGAAATAAGAAGATTAATTGCACTGTTCATATATTTGATTAATTTTAAAATAAAAAGATATTATAATTAGAGAAGAATCATTCCTGTATCCGATTACTGAAGTTGAAAAAATTGCAACGAATGAATATGATCAGTTTGAATTTTGAAAGTGTCAATTATATAACAACTTAATAAATGAAACATGTTCTTTGCTTACCAAATTCCAAGGCAATTAAGTTGTTATTGATGAGTACTCACCTGGAACAAAAAAAGAAAGACAAATATAAATCAAATGAATTGAAAACAAAAATTCTCAATAAATATTTCAAATTGACTGAATAAAAACATGCATGATTAATTTCGAATAAAAATTAAAATTCAACATGAAAATTTAAAACATCAAAATCACATTACGATTTCAACGACGCGCAGCCATCATAGATGGCATTCTCGGCAATTCGTTATTCTATCCTCCATATAGAAAACATCTCGTCTCTCTATTTTCTCATCTTTTTCAAAATGCATTAAAATCCACGGTATTTTCCATCTTCTAAATAAAATTTAAAAAAAAAAAACTCGTAATAATTTTTAATTGAAAAACTTTGTAGAGGCGATGAAAATAATATTTTAACATCGCACCAAAAAGGATGATACAAATTTCAATTTTCACATATGTTTCAGCCTTTTAACCAAGGAGGGCGATACTATCGCGACTGCATGCACGATACACGATATTTGCAATTTCTGATAATCCAATGGCACGTGAAATATCGTATGGATGGAAAAAAAAATGGAATCAGGAGTCGGTGAATTTGCATGCTATCGGGGAGAGGGAATGGAGGTAAAAGGCAATGTTAAAAATACAGAATTCTTGTGCCGTGGGGACATTCAGTTCACGAATTCTTTTTTTTTTTTTATTCGTACTTCGTTGGATGTTGCTGCTGTTTGTGCAGCTGGAAAACAGAACCTTCTCGACTGGGTGGTACTAAAAAAAGAAAGGGGACAGGAGGAAATATGGTTAAATATTGGGAATACGTTTATCTTCGAATGCGATTAAAAGTTTGATGAATGCTCTACACAGAAGGGAGAGATTAAAGGGCGAATTCTGTGATGTGTGTGTATATGTATATATATATATATCTAATCCTGTGATGGACGTGAATAGTGCACTCGTGAAAAGGAAAAAAGGATTGCTTGTCGATTAAATCGATGCTGTTTTATCGTGGAATTTATGTTTTTTTTTTTTTCTTTTTTCATTTGACTGGTAATAGAAATTGTTCTAGAATTAAAATATGAATATAGAATTGGATGAATTAAGAAATATCTTTAAAATTTTGGATCTTTGGAATATGGGATGAAGAGGAAATTGAATAAATTATTAATTCCAATTTTCTGAATATATTTAAACAAAAAAGAATTTATTTCAAAAAAAAAACCTTCGATTATTGTAATATTATCGATACAATTTTTTACAATTGATTGTAATAAAACTATCAAAATTTTAATAATAAATTTTATAAATCGTGATTGTGAAGAAATTGAAAAGTATTTAATAAATTGTCGTTCTACGAACCAAAAGTATTCTGGAACATGGAAGAAGGATTCAAAGAAAATGAACAATTCCGCCCACGATTCCATTTTAAAAAAATAGAACTTGCACATGACTGTCGAAGAATTAAAGTACTCTTTAAACAACCAGCCAGTAACAAGAATAAAATAAGAGTCGAACAGCAGCATCATTCGTTCTACAATTAAACATTCTCGCACAATATTTCTCCATCGTGGAAAACTGTCGAGCCCTCTTCAAACTTTTAATTTCCCCTGTCAACCATTATCAAACATCGACGAATTATTCAAATTATAAGGTGTACACTTTCACACATACACTGTTTAGCAAATATCCTACAAAAACTGATTCGTGATCGAACCGTGCAAGCGAAAAAAAAAAAAGCAAAACAATAAAAACATTGTTAAAAGAAAAGAAAAAGAAAAACGAAAAATAGAATTCCATTATGGACGTGTTTGCTAATGGAATTTCCGTCCTGAATAAATTTCACTACGAGCAGGTAGGGATACGCTGGATACAGTTTGGTCGACTAACAACGGCGCCATTTTGTCCGCATGTATTAAAAAATATTCCTCTCGTTAAAATAAAGAGCAATATTTTACAGCCTTTTTTTTTTTTTGTTTCAGTCGTACCACGTCTTTCCGCTTAACGTGGCGCTTTAATGGATTTTTTTAGGGGACTTCCGGTATTAAACGAACGTCGTTAATGGCTTCATATTCGGTTTTTTTCTTCTTTCGAAGAACGGAAGAAAAAGTTTAATATTGTAAAGTTACGTTGCACCGAAGTTTTGTGGATTCGGCAAATTGGTTTGATAAATCGTGTTGGTGGTGGGTATCGAGTTTTCTTTTCTTTTTTTTTTTTTTAGAACGCCAATGTCCTAAATTTATAATTGTGACCCATTACGACGTTTTCTTCTTCGTTTCACAAATCGATTTCGCTGTCGCTCTGATTCTTTCGAGGAAATGGAATATTTATCAAGATGTCCGCTGGATATAATTAAGAAGTGTTATTAATGTTATCATGAGTAAATAAAGTTAACGTAAGTCGCTTACATATTTACATTTATATTTTTAAATTCTCGATATATATTTGAACTTAATTTCAGTGCATGCTGAATAAGTATCATAGAATCGAAACCATCCAAGCACATAGTTCTAGAAATTGGTAAAAATAATTAATTCGAATTAAATGGACAGAAAGTTAGCCGACCATTATTGTATATTTCGATGAAAAATATCGAAACTTTGAATTTTTACAAGAGGAAACGATACATCGAATTAATAAAAAGTCAAAAAAAGAACAATTTTTTTCAAAACATAAAATCAAATGAAAAACACCTCGGGGAAAAAATATCGAAACCTTTCCTTTAAATTTTTCAAAAGGAGAAACAATATCGAATTGAAAAATGAAAAAAAAAATAAATAAATAAATAAAAAAAGAGAGAACGATTCTTTTGAATTGCATCACAACAAATAAAAAAAAATACGTTGAAAACGAGACATCGAGACGCCTCCATTCCCCGCAGAATGAAGCGGCAGAGATAAAAAGAGAGGGCGGATTGTGCGGAAAGAAAAGTTTGAGAAAGAGTAGGCCGGGTACTTAACATCCGACGACTTGAAAACGCGCGTTTATCTATCCAGCCTTTGGTCGGCCGCGAGAGGTTCCTTTTATCGCTAGGCGCGACCGGAAGTGGTGACATCGAGGGGGCAAAGAAGGCGGAAATGCATAGAGACGCCAGGGGTAAGACGGCGCACACGGGGTGGTTGGCCAACTAAAGAGCCTGGAGTATCAAGTTTTAACGAGGTGTGTTCGGAGACTTTACGACTGCGAGGTACTCGGCAGACATAAAGAGCCGTGCACGACGAAAGCGCGTTTTTCCATTCCACCGAGAAAAATTGGTAGAGAGGAAAAGGTTTGAAGAAGTGTGTCGGTCAATGGGTTACCGACCGAGTCACCGGTTAAATGGGCTAATGAGTAAGCAAATGACCGAGAAAGTAAGATGTTGATATTGAAGACAAGTCGCTTCAAGAATATGGTAATTAAGCACGAGTGGATGATACGAATTATGTATTGGTGAGCCAGTGAAGGAGAATTTTTATGAATAATTATTGTCGGAGGTTAATAAAATGATTGAGTTAATGAACTAGTTGAGTTGATAAGTTAGAGAGTGATTAAGTGAATGAATTAGTAACGTATTAATGATCTAATTATTAAGTGAGAAAAGTAATAGGTTTTGAGTTAGTTATTATAGAATGGATAAGCTAACAAATGAATTGATCTGATAAATAGAAATTGAATTGATAGGTTACTAAATGAGTGAATACATTGTTAAGCTATTAAATACACAAATCAATAAGTAACCTAGTTATTAAATTAACAAGTGAATAAATGGGTGAATTACTGATATGATAAAGCACTAGATTAATAAATGGACGATATAACAAATCACTTACACAATCCAACAGATTAAGTTTACAAGTGAGTGAATAAATTAATGCACCAAGTAAAATCACATAAAATATGTAATCAGTATTCCGTTTCACAAATGAATAAGTAAACAATTTGATCATAAATAAATAATCGTTCAATACATATTATTGAATCCGATATAACGAAGAAATGGAAATAAAATAAAAATGACTACAGCAGCGCCACTCTCGTCACGAAAATGAAGAGTGAAATTGTTGCGGCCGATCGAGAGCGAAGCGATTCGTTTCGATTGGCGTCGTTGTTGTGCAGTAACAAAATAATTGCGGGATTCTGTGAGTGCCGCGCCTCTTGTCCCAAGATTTGTATAAAAATCGTTCGTTCCAGTGACGAGCACCACCGTGATTCCAATAGAGAGACAGTGTTCCAAAAGAGAAAAAGAGACTGTGTGATGTTTAACCATCGATTGCATTGCCTCTTTTTATTCTCTACTCGAGTTCTATAGACGCCACTGGCTTCTCTTGGGATTTTATTCGAATAATTCAGTACTCGTGGTCAATATGGAACGTGAAACTAATTAACGTAACGAACGAGATAGATAATCCGCACATCGCGTGTATTACGATAATCATCCAGGATAAATTTTTCTTGCATGTATTTGTGAACAAGTTTTGCACATTGGTAACGATAAATAATAGGCTAGGAAAATATGATTTCAAAAAGACTTCAATAAGAGTAAATAATGAAAATTCTCGATATTCTCGATTTCAATCTGTATAATCTTTTTTTATAACCTCCAAAAGTATTGATGGCTTCGGTTAACCTAAGTATCCTAGTGAATTCTAATATTCAATACTTTAGGCTTATTCAAAAAATTTAAAAGTATATTAGAATAAGCAGATAATTTTATTAAAAATTTTTCAATGTTTAAACAATTTAACATAAAAAAGAAAGTAGAGTCGTAAAAATTAATCAATTATTAAATTTTGTTTTTCGATATTGTGTGATCATTAAAGAAAATTTTATAAATTAAACATCAGAATTCCAACTGAGATCCAATAGAGACCTTTTCTTTATGGATTTGTTAAAATTTAACACTCTACTCTACTAAAAATCTGCAATATATCGTATAATTTTTTTTTTGTACATTCTTCGAAAAATAATCTTTCAAATATTCTCGTGCATTTATGAGGCGATTAAAAATCATTCCACGCGATCGTTTCGAGTGAAATTAATAGTAATAATTGCCAGATGGGACGAGATGGACACGGATGAATAAAAGATGAAATTAAAGCGGACGAACAAGCTGGTGGGCAAATTTCGACTGGAAAATTTTACCCTTTTCTATCCCTCTCTATTTATTAGCACACGGTTCAACGATATCTTCGAGTGGTCATAAATCTTCGAGTAGTTGCCTGTTACCAAGATAATGAAGGAAATGAGAGGAATTTTCAGCGAACGAGAAACGATATATACCGCGGAACTTGTTTGCATTTTTCGTGGAAACCATGTAAAAAAAAAGGAAAAAGAAAAAAGAAAAAAGTGGTAACAATCGAAATGCAATTATTGTTAGTATCGATGTATATATATATATATAGCTACAGGAATTGAACTTTTTTTTATTTAAAATAAAAATAACGAATATAAAGAAGGAATAATTATTCAAATAAAATAAAAAAGGTTAATTATTTTCAAATAATAATAAAAAATAAAAGATAACGAATAATAAATTTCTTGCAGATTTTGATCTAAAAATATCGATATATAATGATTATTTAAGGATTTCTTTGAGTACGATTATTATAAGGTATATAAAAAATCTTTAATTATTTTAAATTTTCTCAATTTTTATTCTAAAATTTGTTGAAAATTTTTTTTAGAAAAGGAAATTAAGAAAGAAGAGTGGAATGATGGATGAAAATTACGTGGAATATTTTCCACATGAACTCCACATAAGTATCATAATATTCCATCGCATAACTCTTTTAATTCGAAGATAAAGGGTATCCTCGAGGATGTGAAACGCAAAATTCACCATGAAAAAATTGTTATTCCTGGGAATTGAAGCGGACGCTTCTCGAACAAAATCTCGAGCACGATTCCACACACTTTTATTTCTTCCCTTGGAAAAACGTACAGGATTAAGCTTTTTCCTTCGAAAATGGTTACTCATGAAGGAAGCTGTTTTACATTTAAATCAAACCAGCCTGTCTCGAAATCAATTCGAGGTGTTTTACAATTTAAATATCCCGCCAGAAGAAATAAAAAAAGGGCTTATCAAGCGTCACGTCTACCACAGTTTAACTCACTTTTGCTCGAGATCACGTGAATTGAGCTTATCGCGATTATCTTTTCTTTGGAAAATTGGTCATTTATTGTGTAAGTGAATATAACATGTTTAGAACATTTTCTTTGATTTTTCATTTAAGATTTTTAATTATTTTTAACTATTAAAGATAATGATTACATTTTTTCTTTTGTTTCAGGTAAGAAAATTAAGAGATTTATTTTGAATAAAGATACTGATTTTTAGTACAGTGATTATATTTTCTTGAAAAACTAGTTACTTATGTTACTTCAGTATAGGAATATTTTTGAATTGCTGTAATTTTGGAAAAAAATATCGTATCGACAGTCAATCAAAATTTATTTTAAGAAGCAAAACATGTAATTTCACGTGTCTCAATTGAATTTTCTCTGATAATTTCTTTATAAAAAATGGAATAGAGAATCGAGAATAGTTTCTTTTCTTAAAAATTTTATAAATTCATATGATTCTACGATTAATAAATAATTTGTGCAATTTGCATTTTGCAATGAATTTTTAAAAATAAAGCTTCTACTTTATAATGAACCCTTAAAAGTTGACATACGATTTTTTTTTATTGCTGTATCACGTCTTGAAAGTGAACTTTCAAGAATGAAAAAAAAATCGTATAATAATTTTTGATAGCTCAATATAAAGAGAAGATTTTCTTTTCTTTAAAAGATTATTGTAAAATAAAGTGCGTGGAAAATTTATTAGAGTCTCTAAAGTAGATTGAACTTGTGAATTTTTTAAGAAAAGACACAATCTTCAATTTTTCGTCTCATTTTTCAATATAAAAGAAATATCTGGGAAAAATTTAACTAAAATATGTCAAAGTAGAGTTTTTATTTTTTAAAATAAAAGCTTTGATTGATTATTATAAGATATTTATTTCTAAAGTTATAACAGTTTAAAGATTGACAATTGTTGAATTGCTGTAACTTTAGAATGAAATATCTTATACCAATCATTCTCAGCTTATTCCAAGAGCAAAACTTCTATTTTCAGATATTTAATTAAATTTTTTCTCAGATCTTTTTTACATTAAAAAACAAAGTAGAAAATCGAAGATAATTCTTTTTTTTAATAATTTTACACTTTCGATCAATTCTACAAACGTTAATTAATTTTTTTCGCAATTAGTTTTATAATGATTTTTTAGAGCAAAGTTTCTACTTTATAATGAGCCCTTAAAAGTTGACCTGCGATTTTTTTTCGTTGCTGTATCACGTCTTGAATGAAAAGTGAGCTTGAAGAGTGAAAAAAAAAATGGTATAATAACTTTTGAGGGCTCATTATAAAGAAGAAACTTCTCTCCAAAAGCTTATTGCAAAATAAAATTCGTAGAAAGTTTATTAAGCTTGTTAGAATCGACTGAAGTTACAAAATTTAGAAAAAAAATCTAACTTTCTTTTTTATTCTATTTTTCGATATAAGAATAAACTTATGAGGGAAAATTTAATTCAGGCGTATGAAAATAAACGTTTCAAACCTTTAAAGTAAGCCTTGGCTAAGCCTTTTATACAACATTTTTTTCCAAAGTTATAGCAGTTCAAAGATGGACAATTTTTTGGTTAAAATTTAATAATAAATATGTGTATTTTATATTTTCTGTATTTTTATATATTATATACAAATTTTTAATACATTTTGTCTTTTACAGCAGTTCCTGAAGAATAACAGCTTGAAAAAATTGAGTATAGAAAGGGTAAGTATAAAATAGGTAGGTATAATAAATTCCATAAATAGAATTAAGTAAAATGATTAAAAAAAATGAATTTGTTACTGCAAATGTAACATTTTAAAGAAGTAATTATAAAAAAAAGGTAAGTATAAAGCAGGTAAGTACATCAGGTAAGTAAATTTTTATAATAATAACGTGAAAAACGTAAAAATTGAAAAATATGCTTTAATACAAGTCCTGATTGTTCGTTCCTTTAGTCTTTTTCTCAGATCTTTTTTACATTAAAAAACAAAGTAGAAAATCGAAGATAATTTCTTTTTTTTAATAATTTTACACTTTCGATCAATTCTACAAACGTTAATTAATTTTTTTCGCAATTAGTTTTATAATGATTTTTTAGAGCAAAGTTTCTACTTTATAATGAGCCCTTAAAAGTTGACCTGCGATTTTTTTTCGTTGCTGTATCACGTCTTGAATGAAAAGTGAGCTTGAAGAGTGAAAAAAAAAATGGTATAATAACTTTTGAGGGCTCATTATAAAGAAGAAACTTCTCTCCAAAAGCTTATTGCAAAATAAAATTCGTAGAAAGTTTATTAAGCTTGTTAGAATCGACTGAAGTTACAAAATTTAGAAAAAAAATCTAACTTTCTTTTTTATTCTATTTTTCGATATAAGAATAAACTTATGAGGGAAAATTTAATTCAGGCGTATGAAAATAAACGTTTCAAACCTTTAAAGTAAGCCTTGGCTAAGCCTTTTATACAACATTTTTTTCCAAAGTTATAGCAGTTCAAAGATGGACAATTTTTTGGTTAAAATTTAATAAATAAATATGTGTATTTTATATTTTCTGTATTTTTATATATTATATACAAATTTTTAATACATTTTGTCTTTTACAGCAGTTCCTGAAGAATAACAGCTTGAAAAAATTGAGTATAGAAAGGGTAAGTATAAAATAGGTAGGTATAATAAATTCCATAAATAGAATTAAGTAAAATGATTAAAAAAAATGAATTTGTTACTGCAAATGTAACATTTTAAAGAAGTAATTATAAAAAAAAGGTAAGTATAAAGCAGGTAAGTACATCAGGTAAGTAAATTTTTATAATAATAACGTGAAAAACGTAAAAATTGAAAAATATGCTTTAATACAAGTCCTGATTGTTCGTTCCTTTAGTCTATAATTCTAAGAATATGACGTCATTTCTAAGAACTTCGAAAATTCCAAGAATTTGACGTCACTTCCAAGAAGTGTCGAAATTCTGGGAAAAATTCTTCGAACGACCTCCTATCAAGTTATGTTCTCCTAATACAAAGTCGACAAATTGGTCGAAACTTTCGCTCGTCCAAGAATTTCGATAATTCTAAGAATATGACGTCATTTCTAAGAACTTCGAAAATTCCAAGAATTTGACGTCACTTCCAAGAAGTGCCGAAATTCTGGGAAAAATTCTTCGAACGACCTCCTATCATATTATGTTCTCCTAATACAAAGTCGACAAATTGGCCGAAACTTTCGCTCGTCCAAGAATTTCGATAATTCTAAGAATATGACGTCATTTCTAAGAACTTCGAAAATTCCAAGAATTTGACGTCACTTCCAAGAAGTGCCGAAATTCTGGGAAAAATTCTTCGAACGACCTCCTATCAAGTTATGTTCTCCTGATACAAAGTCGAGTTTTCGACAAAAATTTTTTTTCTTGAACCTTTTCCAGGAATTTGACGTCATTTCCAAGAATTTTAGAAATTCCTAGAATTTGACGTCATTTCCAAGAATTTTAGAAATTCCAAGAATTTGACGTCATTTCCAAGAACTGTCGAAACTTTGCGAACATTTCGACTTTTAAAACTGATTTGCGCGAAATTTAAAAATTTTTTTTTTTGCAATTTAATATACTTACCTTTCACATACTTACCTTTTTACATACTTACCTTTTACATACTTACCTTTTTAAGCGCCATACATCCGGAAAAACATTTTTTCAACATTTTACTTAAAACTAAGTATTAAAATTTGATATACTTACCTATTTTATACTTACCTTTTAAAATTCAGTCCTTTATATCGTCATTTTTATAAAGAACTATTAAAATGTATAAAAAATATCTCGTATTTATCTTTTATGCCACTTTCTTTTTAACCTGATTATTAAAATCAGAATTCACGAAGATAATAAACGAGATAAGAGTCACTTCGTTTTAAGTTTCATCCAATTTTCCACTCTTTGTCTGAAATATAATACAAACGATGATAAAAAATACATTTCCTAAAGATACAAAGAATAAAATTTCAATAAATTATAATAATATCTCTAATCTAAATTAACTTACCACTCATAACTGTTAACTAATTCCAATTAGCTACTCGAATCGTATTAAATCCAATGCAATTTAACCATTTTCACAAAAATTCACAGTCACTGAAGGACTAAAAAAAAAAAAGTTCTCCAACTCTTCGAATCTTGCACAATTCAACGAATCTTGGAAAACATCCGGTGGAAGAAAGTTCGATCCGCGAAAATCCATCCAGCTGCATATTCGAGCAATCGATTTAGAAAGCGTATCCGATGTTAAAAGTGGAAAAGTTTGGGGGATACGAACGCGGCTAGACGTCACCAGAAATATTCGGCTCGCCCCTCTTAGAGCCGAAAAATCGTAGGTAAGCCAAGGAAATTTCCAGTGAACTGAGGCCAAATTCTCGCGGAAACTTTTCGTTTCAGATTAGATATTTGCTTCGAATCGAATCGTTTTTCACCCAAAAACTGTCCTCCTCCGCCATCTTGTTTCGATCGAGTTTCGTAATGGAATCTCGGATGCTGATTGGACGGAAGCAAGGAATCGGATTGGTGGATTCCGTAACGGTATAGAGAAGAATAATCTTTGTTATGTGAATGTTTTATTACGCGAATGATGTATTTTATATCATAATATGCAAATGTATGTAAGAGTGTTCGTCTCCTTGGGAAATTTATTTGTTAAATCTCATCTCGTAAAAATATTTCATTACACTTCCACTTGTAGAAATATTGATCCAAGAATTTAATTTGTTTAACGTGAAACGTATGTATTTAACATTGCTAGTAATAAAATTTGTTGTACAAAAAAAGTGAATTTGTGTATCATTTGCAGCTACAGAAACAAGAGTTTGATGATTTTAGACCCAAAAGTAATACCACACGTATCGAAGAAATTTAACTTATAATTTAGCTTTTTTAAAACAAATTTTGGGATTGAAATATTAACTTCTTCTATTTTATTACGTGAAAATTTTCTTAATTCACTCTACTTCCGTTATTCTATAGAAACAGGAATAATTAAAGTAAAAGTAATTCTTCCAATCTGAATCGCAACGATAATAATTCTAAAACAAATAGTTTTTAAAATTTAATATCAAAATTACAATATCTTTTAATTCCTTTTTTTTTCCTCCCTAGTTAAAAACGAACAGGAAACATTATAATCGCGATTTTACTTTAATTTCATATTGGAATCGAACTTGAAGCCCGTTTCAGTATTCTATTTGCAACAGTCTGTTTATTACATCGCGTTTCGATGTTTGTTTGCGTATTTACATTAAACGAAATTCCCCCCGTGGAACCGTAATC